GTGTCCATTTTCCTGATTAGTAATGAAGTTGGCAAATCATTTGCCACCCAATTTCCTGTCCTATAAATTTTCAGTTCATGTCCTTGGCTTATATTTCTATTGGACTGTATGTTTTTCTTATTAATTTACCTTAATTTGTTTTGTATTCTGGATACTCTCTTTGGTCTGGTTCCAGAAGTAGATCCTGATGCAAGTATTCATGTGCAAGTGATTTTTAAAGAAGCATTACTTAAGAATTATTTACAAGGAAGTGGACATATATAAGGGAAACTGGTAAGAGAGTGGGTAAAGCAGGACAGGAAAAGGTAGGGAACAAATCATGGGCGCACTCTTAGGCAAAGTCCGGAAGAAGGTTGTCTCTGCCGGATACCACCACTGGACTCCGGAATGTTACACACCCACCTGCCATTGGCCAAAGGTCACGTAGGAGGTAAATTCTTAGGCATTTCTAGCTCTCCACACGTGTGGGCGCAAGTGACTCTAGCATGCCTTTTAAAAAGAGCTCCAGGACAGGAATTAGCTATTGGAAGGAAAAATATACCAAGGTAGGAGGTGTGGAGCACAAAAAGAGTGAAAAGGAACAGAAGGTAGAGAACAGACATCATGCCTTATAGACGATAATAGTATAAAAATAGCATTTAATTTTACTATTAATTCAAGAAATTCAAACTGTAAGGTATTTTTTACCTACCATATTTACAAAGATTTAAGAGTTAGACCAAAGTTCTCACCACAAAAGAAAAAAAAATTGCAACCATGTAAATGATCCATGTATTAACTAACTTTATTGTGGTAATCATTTTGCAATATATACATATATAAAATAACTGTTTTATACTTTAAACTAATACAATGTTATATATCAGTATCTCAATAAATCTGGAAAAAACAGAACTCATTTGCATCGTATATTATTGCTAGAATAGAAACTATATTTTTCATTCAAATTTTGAACGTTATTTACATCTTCCACATACCTTCCTGAATATTTTGTGGAAAGTGTAAGCTGGAAGAAAAACAAAACAAACAAACAAAAAATGTTAGTGTTTATACAAATCAAATGTGGCTATTTTTTTGAAACTGTGTGTTTGTAATAAGACTTCTTAATCTTAAAAATAATTAGGAGGCTGCCCTGGCTGTTGTGTCTAAGTGTGTTGGGCATTGTCCAGCAAAATGAAAGGTCTCCGGTTCAATTCCCAGTCAGGGTACATGCCTGAGTTGTGGGCCAGGTCTCTGGTTGGGGGCATGTGAGGGGCAACTGATCAATGTTTCCCTTGCACATTGATATTTCTCCTTCTCACTTTCTCCCTCCCTTCCCCTCTCTTTAAAACATAAATAAATAAAATCTTTTTTTAAAAATTAGGGGGCTGGTCAAGATGCTAGCATAAATAAACACGGTACTCCCATCCTCCCACAACCAAATCAAGATTACAACTAAACTACAGACCATCATTCAGAACCCCCTGAAATCTAGCAGAACAGAAGTTCTACAACTAAGAATATAAAAAAGAAGCCACATCAAGACTGGTAGGAAGGATGGGGACATGAATGGATTAATCCCACACCCATATATGATGGTTAAAATTAAGGAGCGATATTTCAGCTGCAGAGGCCCCTTGAAGAGTGAAGGGTTCCAGTCCCCCACCAGGCCCACCTGCCCAGTGTTCCAGAGCCTGAAAGAGAAGCGTCTATGAGTTATGGCTGTGTAAAACAGCAGAAATGTGTCTGAGTGAGACAGAGGGCTACTGGAGTGCCATGCAGTTCCTCCTAAAGGGTCTACACACAAAGTTAATCAGACTTGCTTTAATATCCAGCACTGGGGCAACAACTCAAAAGGAACCAGGGACATACTGCGAGACATTGAGTTGCTTGGCATCTGGTCAAGAGCTGGAAGGACAGCTTTCTCCCAGACAGAAGTGCTGGCAGAGTACATTGTTTCTTTTCTGAGTCCTCTCCCCACAGAGCCGGCAGTTAGGTGCCGTATAAGGCTCAATGTGGCTCACACTGTTAGCTCCACCCTGGTGATTCCCTGAGGCCATGACCCACCTAACTTGCGGGCTCACCCAAGCTGTTTCCAGCTTTTCCATATGAATGACCTCTCTTGACTCATGCTTCAGACTTTCCTAAAACCCACCAACAAGCAGCATCTGGTCTTGGTGTGCCACCTCCTCACACCCCAGCACTATTGGCAGTTGGCCATGATACACAGCTTGTTGTCTCCTGAGAGCTTTCAAGACCAGCACAAGCAGTAGCCATCTGCAGATCACTACATAGCTCATACCAGGTGGCCCCAGGGAGAACATAGGGAGCACCAGCCTGGGCCTGTACTTCCAGGGAGGTTCAGAGCCAGCGCACCCAGCGGACATCATCAGACTTTGTCGAAGCACCACCACCCAACCACTTCCACAAGTGACACACTCAAGCAGTAGACTCAGTGGATACCAGAGCACTGCTGAAGTAAGTACTGCTCCAAGGGATGCGGCCCTGCACAGTGATGGTCACAGTCTGTCCTTGCAGTTGATCAGCCTGAAGGTAGATCTCTCCCACTGAGGTTCCAACAGTAATCAAGTCTCAACTACAATAGGCAGGCATACACAGCCCACACAGGGTGGGGGTAGGTGGGTACACCTGGAGTGCCCAGCTCAGTTGAAGAGAGGTTGTGCCACTAGACCCTACAGGATACCTACTACATTAGGCCACTCTGTGGAGCTCAGGAGATGTAGGATCTCTACCTAATGTATAGAAACAAACATCAGGAAGCAGCCAAAATGTAGAAACAAAGAAATATGTCCCAAATGAAAGAACAGAACAAAACTTCAGAGAAAGAACTAAACAAAATGGAGACAAGCAAACTACCAGATACAAAGTTCAAAATACCGGTAATAAGGATACTCAATGAACTTAGGGGAAGTGTAGATGAACTTAGAGAATAAACAGCATAAAAAAGGACATGGAAACCATAAAAAAGAACCAGTCAGAAATGAAAGATACGCTAATTGAAATGAAGAATAATTTATAGGGAGGGAATCAATGGCAGGGTAGGGAAGCTGAGAATCAAATCAGCAATTTGGAATATAAGGAAGCAGAAAACACCCAACCAGAACAGATAAAAGAAAAAAGAATTCCCCCTCATCCCCCTCCCCAACGCCTGCAAAAAAAATGAGGATAGTGTAAAGAGCCTCTGGGACAACTTCAATCATACCAACATTCACATCAGGGGCTGCTGGAAGAAGAGAGAGCAAGGAATTAAAAACCTATTGGAAAAAATGACAGGAAATGACAGAAAAATGACACCTAACTTGGCGAAGGAATTAGACATACAAGTGCAGGAGGAACAGAGAACCCCAAACAAGATGAACCCAAAGAGGCCCACTCCGAGACACAGCATAATGAAAATAATAAAGATTAGAGACAAAGAGAGAATCTTAAGAGCAGCCAAGAGCAGTTAATGACCTTTAAGGGAGGCACCATAAAGACTGTCAGCTGATTTCTCAGCAGAAACTTTGCAGGCCAGAGGGATTGGCATGAAATAGTCAAAGTGATGAAAAGCAAGGAGGACCTACAACCAAGATTACTTACCCAGCAGAACTGCATTTAGAATTGAAGGACAGATAAAGAGCGTCCCAGACAAGAAAAACCTAAAGGAGTTCAACACCACCAAACCAGTATTACATGAAATGTTAAAGGGTCTTCTTTAAGAAAAAGAAAGATTAAAAAATGAACAATAAAATAATAAGAAATATATATCTATCAACAACTGAATTTAAATAACAAAATGTATGAACAAGTAGAACAGGAACAAACTCATACAGATACTTTGACAAGTTGCCAGATGAGAGGGAGGTGGGGGATGGATGAGAAGGTGAAGGGATTTAGAGGAACAAATTTGTAATTACAGAATAGTCATGGTGATGTAAAGTATCACATATGGAATATAGTCAATAGTTTTCTAGTAACTATGGTGTCAGATGTGTACCAGATTTATAGGATGACCGCTTAATAAGTTATATCATGCCTAATTACTGCATCGTACACCTGAAAGTAATATAATATTATATGTCAACAGTAATTGAAAAAATAAAAATGATTTAAAAAAATAAAGTATTAACAGACACACAGAAAAAATAGATGAAATATAGCAACTGTTTTGCATAGTACCTGGCACATAGTGTTTGCTCAATAAATATTAGTAACATGATTTGTCATTAAAAAGAAAAAAATGAAAGCTTCTAAACAACATACATAATTGCTTTCCATTTGCTAAAAAAATCCAACTTATGGGAAAAAGAGCTAGTGTACATTTTATTTTTAATGTGAGATTTGGGGGATAGAGAACTTTGAGTTTACTTTATACATGTGTTTGTAACATTTTCAACAACAAGTGCATGTTACCTTCCAAGTGATGGTGAAATACGGGTTTTAAAATGGTGGATATGATTTAAGAGCCTGGGATGTTGGTGATGTTTCCATTAGCATCTTTTCTGTTGCTTAACTGAATACTTCTGATTAAAACACTCTTCTACTAAGAGTGCTCTCACCTAGTGTTTCTGTGCAGCGACAAAGGTATCATGACTGAGAATCAAGGGACTCAACAGGCAGAGAAAATATACTGTCATACGCACACACAGAAGAATGAGGGGTTGTTTTTTGACAAGAGGGTAAACCATATTGTTAATAATAGAAGAAAAACTGAATTCCTATAGTTCTCAGTCAAATCTGTGAGGGTGTTGGAAGGACAGTACAATTTTTAAAGTAAATCCCGGTGGGTTACTTCAAAGAAAGTAGAAACCAAAATTCTGTGGATATTTAGAATATTAAAGAACAGGCATTTGAGCCAAAAAAATGTTTGCCTACAAAATTTTCTTTCTTTCATTCTCTGCCAAGAGGGTTGTATAAGTCTGTCTTCAGTACCACCCAAAGCCCTCAGTAAAAGGAACACACACAATAAAAAGACAAAGTCTCCAAGTGGAAATTCAATTGTATTTATTTTTCATATACAGAATCAGAGAAGTAAAAACCAGTACCAAAGTCCAGGTAGAATGGTTTGATCTGATTGACTTGGCTGCATACTTCTGTACGCATAGCATTCTAAATTAAAAATAAACACACATATGTCATATTACAAAATGTAGAAGTAAATTTTTTTAAAAGTTAAAGTACTAGCACATAAATGATGTAGTGTGTTAGGGAAACGGTCTCTGTCAATTGTCCATTTTCCCAATTAAATTATTCTACAATTTCTTTTTAATAGCTTTTTTTTCCATAAAAGTTGTACTTTCAGAAATTACTTCCTAATGTCATGAGAACACAACTCGTAATTACCAACACTTGTGTCACTCCAGATCACCTTCTTCTGCATAGAGCCTTCCTACCCCACTGGGGAACGCCCGGCCCCCCACCCCCAGCACACTAACGCTTTTGTTCTGTTTGACGTGCTTCCTGTGGAAGAGATGGCATTTCACATCCTAAATACTATGGTGAAATACTAAGAATTACTTAGATTTAACAGAGTTGCAAATAGGTTTTAACAATGTATTAACTTTAAGAAAATGTGTTTAATCAGAAAAAAACCCTAGAAAGATCTCCAAAATTATTTTTCAATTTCAATTTTAATATGCCTTTTCTATGGCAAAACCATTGGATGAAATGCTGAAATTTATTGATTGACGTAGGAATAAATGACTAGATATCCTGGCAGTTGTTCTCTAATAAGAAAAACAGTATATAAATAGCACCTTATCATGATTCTGCAGGGATTTTAACACTTACAATAATAGGAAATAGCCTTTAAAAAGCTGTTCTTACGTCGATTTCTAGCTTTAGTGTTCTTTAACAAAGGTCATATTTTATGGCCTTAAAAACAAACAGAAAATTATATCTGGCTTTATCTATTCGTAAACACATATTCAGGGTCCATATTTAATTCTGGAAAAATATTTATGTTCATTAATAAATGTTTCAACTAATTTCTCTAGAAAAAATTCTAGTGTTTTCTAATGCCACAAGCTTACTAGGAAATTACTTCTAAAAATTGATAATATAAATCATCGATGTTTTAACTACTTAAAAAAAAGAGGGGTATCTGTTTCTTTTACGTTTAATAACCTGAAAATGAGTCTATAAAAATATTTTTTAAAAAAATACAGTAACACTGCTCAGTTTTGTTAGGTCCCTTGTTTTGTTTTTGTTTTTTCCTTAGAATGTACAACTCTTCTTGCAATTATTGCTAACATAAGAGAAAAAGAAATAGTGCTCCCTTCAATTTAGTAGCAACAAAAACATCACCCCCATCTCTCTCAGAGCACTTGGAGAGAGAGAAGGAATCAGAGGAACATAAACCATGGGTCCTTCAGGAAAAAGAATCACTTCATTGTGTTGGAAGCGACAGCAAGCTTCTGCCCTTGTCCTCCTAATGCTCAGCATCAGCATGGACAGGGCTACACTATCCCTGCCCCTCCCCCTCCACATAAAGTGCACCAAAGCCTTCTTTTCTTCTACAACAGTCTTTTGGTACAAAGGTTGTAGTAGAAAATTGCGGTTTTGTTCTTTTGGGGCACCTCTTATACGTCTAGCTTGTCTTGCTTTTGGGGTGCTATAACTTGTCTATTTCCACTTCACAACTGGTGTGCTTTCACTGTATTCCATAACTTTTACTACTTCATCTCTGACCTTTTCACATGCCTTCTTTCCAACAAGATAAAATGTATTCTTTCTGTCTATATTCTGATAGATCGAAAAGGATCTTATTTAAGATTCTGAACAAATAAGCCCCTTTGGGGATTGAAGGGCTCCTCCCAGAGACCTGAATTATTGTCTTTCTAAAAAGATATTAAATTCATAGATTATAAATAATGTCAGTTGAAAATATTAAACAGCTGAGGACTTCATTGGCAATGCAGACAGAGTGCATGCCAGGTGAACCTGATGCTCTCTCTCAGTCCTTAAAAGCTAGTAAAAAATAATTTTTGGTTACATAAGAGGTATTGAGTACATATTTCATGCCTTTTTATACCAACTGTAGCAAACAGGGTTAGGGTAACATACTTAGGAATCAATTTTACTGAATTCAGAAACGTAAGTCTCCACCATACGCCCGCAGAGGGCATTTTTTTAAAACGTCAGTCAGAGATCTGCTTCATCCTTCAAACAGTTTCATAGATAAGACTATTTTAAACACTTGAAATCTTAAAAGCAAAACTGACAAGGCTTCAGAATTTAAAAAGCAACAGCTTACTGTGTGTGCCATCAGGTTGAAAGCTATGCTTTCCCGATGTTTTCAGAACAGTTTCAAAAGGCAAAATTATAGTTGCCACTGATTTATCAAAAAACATTTGGCTGCCCTTTGTCATCAGCTACAAAATTATAGTGCGTCATAAAATAAACATCAAATTCTAAGCTGCAATTTTTAAAAATCCAACTTGCTATTTTAAAATGTTTTGTTTAATAAATGCTCATAATTAGTACCAAACTGGTCTCTTTCCTAAGATCTGTAGCGTAGGAACGTGACTAATACTGCTGCTACTCTCCTGCTGGAAGGACTAGTTGTCTAGATGCTATGCCATAAATGGAAGATAAACTAATGAGTGTGCCTTTGTAAATACGGAGTAATAATCATCAAAACCAGCACGGATTCAAAACTACATTGTTTTCCATACAGCAGAATCTTACTATCCATATGATGATTTTTTTAAAGCTTGGGTTAAATATTTGAAGCATTTGGTACTACGGTCATCAATACAGTTTTTGAAACTGTAAATCGGGTCTCATTTTGTGTACATTTCCTGGATCGAGCCGCCTGTCAGAAGTCACTGCCTGTGGTCAGCTTTTTATGGTTTATAATCAACTGATGTATAAATTTCAACTAACACCCATAAAGCTTAGTCATGGGGGCTGCAGAGAGAAAAGCAGAGAAACAATTCTGCATGGCCCACCACAGGAATGCAGGCTTGCAGAAAATGAAAATAGAATATTTATTTACGTTTAACTTAAGTTACTGTCAATCAAATCCAGGCAATGATTAAACTGGCCAAATGGAAAGGAGGGAGCATGAGTCATGGAGGCAGAAAGCGGTTCACCTGCAGACTTGCTCTGCTCCGTCACTTCTTCCAAGAGGCCCAGGAAATGTCAGGTCATGGCTGCACCCAAGTTACAATGGTATTGGTTACAGCCAGGTTAGAAAGGGCTCGCTTTTGTTCAGAGCAGACTCTACATCATTGAAGAGGGGGATCAGATCTTCAGATTCCAAAGTGCCGAGGTCCACATTGGTTCCTGGAAGACAGTCTAGAAAATCAGGGAAACGGGTCTGCTGAGGATTGATGTTCATGGGCGTCTGTCCTGCGTTTTCTCCTGTAACAGAATAAAAGGAAACCATTTTAACTCCTTTTTTAAGCTCGAAGGACAGGCCAAGTGTTAACATAACTCTCATCCTCATTTTTGTTGTGTCTACATTTAATCAGAAGATTATATTGCTGCAGGTCTAAAATATTCCCTCTCTGGGCAAAATTCCAGCTACCACAACTGACGCTGAGCTGGTGATATTCACTCCTAGGAGACACAGAGATGCCGGCTGAATCTTTAACTGCTCTCAGTAGACATGGTCCAGAGTAGGGAGATAGGGAAGGCGCATGTGAAGGCCCTTTGGGTCTGACCTACGACCTGTGCCTTCCCATGACGGCAGCATGAAGAGCTGTTTTGTGAAAGAGAGGCCCTGCCTGTAATAGCTTCCTCATTATAGGGCTGTAATCTCAGGATTTAATTGCAAGCTTCTATGCACCCATATCCTCCCTCTTTACGTTCAAAGATAGTAGTGAGGAGTTTCTTTTAACCATGTTATTAAAAGGCTGTCTTCATTGATGGCTCTAGGGATCAATTTCAAAGCATTTTATAAAGTGGATTCTGTAGATCATCCCGCTTCCTCCACACACACATACACAGCCCACCCAACTACCTGCCTTTCTCACACTGCATATGAGTCACCATGAATCAAGTGTACAAAGGTTCTGAGAGGTCTTGCAGTAAAACAACAACAACAACAACAACAACAACAACAACAACTTTCATTTATCTTATTTGTTTGGGAATCTATTTCCTAAGCCTATGGAATCACCTAATCCAATTTTAGTAGAATGTATATCCAGATACAAGTAGAGGCTACACAACACGGTTGAGAAAATGCTAATCTAGAGGAAGGATAAGCATCTGGGGTATAACATGAGGAACAGATGTTCCTTATGAATAACAGTATAGGAGAAAATGTTCTGACCTTTGTGCGAGGAGAATGACTTTTTTAGCCTTGTGAACTTAGACACACATAACTTGTACATATATGAGTTGTCTAGCCCTCAGTTTACTTATATGTAATTGGGATTACAGTACCTTTATCACAAACTGGAGTAGACTCCCAAACGATGTGTACCACAAGCCCATGGCTCTGGGCACCATTTGCACATACAAACTCATATACACACACAACTACAACAAATGTTTGCTGATTGTGTTAGAGAAAGAAGAACTTTGGAACTCAATCTTGTTGATTATATAGTATTAGAACAGCTAGATAATTCAAGCAATTTTCTGAAGGCATACAATATACCCAAGGACTGGGGAGCACTGACAGCTAAGGCCAGCTTCCACACAGCATCATTTTTAAGAAACTCATTGTTAGCTTCTGTGTCTCAAAAGTGCAGTAGCATTCCAGAGAAGCATGCATAGAAATTTCACTATTCTGAGTAAAACTGCAGAAAATTTCTTTTAACCATATGCATTAAATACTTTCTAGGGAGAAAAATTACATCTCTCCTGGTGATGAGGGAACATAATCAAACTTTTATTTTGGTGATAGCAAAGCTTAATGACTTCTCTATGACTCATAAAATATCAATGCTTCTTAATAATATTTTATAGGATTTTCATTGCAAAAGGCAATGAAAAATTAAATTAAGTTTAACCACATATTGAAAAACATCAAAAGAAAAAAGAAAATCCAAAATAACTTTTTCTACCCACTAGAGTGTAACAGATGCAAGTGAGGTTTAAAATATCTGATCTCAGGTGCCAGATGTATTTTTTTCTTTATCTCCATTTAGAATCATTTATCTCTATTGATTTGCCATTTAAATTTCTAATAACTTAAAAGTATATTCTTTTTAGCCAAAAAAAAAACTCCCTGTTTTAAAGAATTCCTCTTCTCCTTTCTCCTCAGACATTGAAAGCATGAGACTAGCTAAGGTTCTTTGTTGAGGTAAACAATTTTAAAATATCTCTGTTTGGAGCAACTTTGCAATCTTTTTGGTCTTTGCAGCATTATCCACCTAAATTATCAGTGGGCTGATGCACTCACTTAACTGGGTTAACTTGGAGCCCTAACATTTATCAAGTTCCTTCGGTACATTACCTCAGCCTCCTTAGAAGGAGAAGTGAAGGCCACGTTCTGTGATCTCATGACCCCTCACAACTCTAAGAACTGAGCACATTACTCTGCCTTCGTAGGTGAGAAATCTGTGGCCCAGAGAGGCTACACGTTACCCAAAGTCACTACCAGGAAGCAGAGAAGCAAGAATTCAACTTAGGCTTCCTGTCTGCAATGATTATGTTCTTTTCAGGACAACACTTAATTCCACATTGTGGCTTTAAAACATTTCCCATTTATCCACTCGAGGCCATCTTCTTATTTATTTATTTATATTTTTATTTTACGTCAACCTTAGATTTAGGTGTCCCTAGCCTTTTTTAATTTAACTTTGTTCTTTTATCTTTACTGGCTTCCCAGTGTTTAAAAGATGAAGCAAACAATTATTAAACAGAGGAAGGAGCCATTCCAAAGAGGGCAAAATAAATCTCACACCAAAAAATAAAGAGATGAAGAAAGAAAAGGGAGGCAGGAACAGAGGGAAAAATCTGAGTAGTAAATTAAAGTAAAACAAAACAAACAGTTCAAACTATTCCCATGTGACTCCTCACAAGACTGTGCAATCCTCTAAATAGGGACATGATGCCCTACCAGGAGACCCCAGGACAGCTGCTCCAGCGTCCTACACTGGCGGGCTGAGGCTGTCTCCTGTCAGACCGATAATTTAAATTCAGAGTAGGAAGAGCAGGCACCTTGGAGCAGAGCGTGACTAACACAGGCACAATGGACAACAGCGTTGAGAAAGCAATTATTTTTATCACAGAACAAATTAATTTTCTATCATCAGTGAGGATAAAAGAGAAACTTGCATTGAAAAACTCCAATTACTGGACACCTCAGCTGTCTTCTATTTTTGGTTCTAGAATGTCTTCTGGAAGTTTAGGACTTTGATAATTAAGTCTAGATTTGGCTAATAAGACCAAATCCAGTTTTTGCTATTGAAGGTCTTACTCCTTGAAAAGAGGAGAAAAGAAGAGGTAACCAGGAAACCAACTGAGGCCTGGCCAGAAGGGGGAACAGACTTGGGACAAGGTTAAAGACACCTGACTCCCATTAACTGCTGAGGTAGGACATGGTTACCATTGGGATTTGGAGCTGACAATTTAGAATCCTTTGAGTTGCTTAACTTTCCAAACGCCCACTGCCAATTGCCTCCTAAATGCAGCGAATGACATGAAAAAAATCTGCACGCTGGTGGAACTACAAAGCAATACCCTTCTCAAGAGACAAAGTGTCCCATACATTACAGCTAAAAACCAAACAGCATTTAACTATTCACCCGTTGAAGAACAGAAAAACAGACAGTGGTGTGTTAATGAGAGTGTGAGGAAAGGACTGTATGAAGCAAGGACAAGCAAAAGCAAAAAACAACAAAAAGGCAGAATTTAAAATCTTGTGCCCATACATAAACTATGTTTGTATAAACTACGGGGAAGGGGCTAGAGTTTATTAATAGCTCTTAAGGAGTTGGGTGGCTTTTTAGTTGTCATTTTATATTGTTTTCAGATTAATGGTTCTTGTTCAATTTTAGAATTGAGATGACTAAAAAGATGATTTAGAAGTGCAAACACACTGCAAGTCCTCGCAGGCTTCGCTCCTACCTGTGTCCATCTCATCCACGTTGCTGAGGAAGTCCTCCGGAGTTGTGGGGACACTGTAGCACCCTAACCCCAGGCCACTGTCGTTGCTCTGCTCCCTCGAATGATATGGCCCTCTGGAGAGCAAAAGATGGAGAAACTTCAGTGTGAACCCAATAAAGATATTTCCAAGTTAGAATAGTCATGAAAACCCTAACCCAGTGTAGTTCTGTCATTCTACCCAACTTTCCAGGTAATGAAGACAAGCAGACTTTGTACCTCCTTTTATTTTTTTTGAAACATGCATCCTAATGTCAATGAAATTAATAAATTGCAGGCAAATAAAATTGGCTGTTCATAGTAAACTGACATTGATTTCCTTTTACCTTCAAAATAATTTTAACACTACTTATGTTAATTTTTTAAAACACAAAACAATGTTAAACATTGCTTTTGGATGCACACATTATCAGGCAATAAGAAGTATAAAGGTACATGTGATGAACACATGCCACCTTGCAAATAGTGCTACCACTAAGGAGAGAAGAAAAAGAAGACACATTTCAGTAGTAAAAGAGATGAGTTTAAATATTAATTGTAATACTTATTTCAAAAATATAAGATCTGGGTTTTGGGTACATAGGTAAATCTTACATTATTCTTTATACTTTTCTAACATTTGAAATACTTTTAAATTAAGAATTTAAAAACTTTCTTTCATTATTTCAGCTATTGTTTTCATCCCTGTATTTTTAATAACTTTCAAAATTGTATCTGTTTGCCAGAATCCTCTGGAAGGACAGAAAAGGCACAGGAAATAGAATACTGACCTTTATTTGACTTTAATTTAAAGACTATAATCAAGGTTGACGACTTCTACTCATGAATATACCCCCCGTTTTTTTACTTTTTTCATTGATTATGCTATTACAGTTGTCCCAATTTTTTCCCTTTTGCTCCCCTCCACCCTCACCCCGCTCAAGCAATCCCCCCTCCTTTGTTCATGTCCGTGGGTCATGCATATTAAGTTCTTCGGCAACTCCATTTCCCATGCTTGCTCTTAACATCCCTCTGCCTATCAGGTAACTACCAATTTGTACTTTTAATCCCTCCCCCTTTTCCCTCATTCCTCCAGAACCCCCTCCCCACTGGTCACCATCTTAATGCTCTCCCTATCTATGATTCTGTTTCTGTTCTGCTCATTTGGTTTTTTAGAGTCAGTTGTTGATAGTTAAGTGTTTATTGCCATTTTAATGTTCATAGTTTTGATCTTCTTTTTCTTAGTCCTTTAAAATTTCATATAATAATGGTTTAGTCAAGAATAACTCCTTTAGCTTTAACTTGTCTGGGACGCGCTTTGTCTGCTCTTTGATTCTAAATGGTAGCTTTGCTGGGTAGAGCAATCTAGGTTGAAGGTCCTTGCTTTTCATGACTTTAAATACTTCTTGCTAATCCCTTCTAGCCTGCAAAGTTTCTTTTGAGAAATCATCTAACGGCCCTATGGCAATTCCTTTGTAGATAATTACCTGCCTTTTTCTTGTTGCTTTTAAGATTCTCTGTTTATCTTTAACCTTTGGCTTTTTAATTATGATGTGTCTTGGTGTGGGCCTCTTGGGACTCTCTGTGCTTCCTGGACTCTTGTGTCCATTTCCTTCACCAAATTAGGGAAGTTTTCTTTTATTTTTTCAAGTAGGTTTCCAATTTCTTTCTCATTCTCTTCTTGTGGCATCCCTATAATGTGAATATTGGAACATTTGAAGTTGTCCCAGAGGCTCCTTACACTATCCTTAATTTTTTGGATTCTTTTTTCCTCTTACTTTACTGATTGGATGTCTTTTTCTTCCTTATGTTCCAAATCATTGATTTGATTCTCGGATTCATTCACTTACAGGAAAACAACATCCACTTGTTTTCCTGTAAATTGTTCTTTATTTCAATTAGTGTATTCTTTGTTTCTGACTGGATATTTTTTATGCTGTTGAGGTCCTCACTAAGTCTTTGAGCATCCTTATAACCAGTATTTTGCGCTCTGCATCTGATAGATTGCTTATCTCCATTTTGTTTAGTTCTTCCTGAAGTTCTGTTCTGCTCTCTCATTTGAGCCATATTTCTCTGTCTCCTCATTTTGGCAGCCTTCTTGTGTTTGTTTCTATATATTAAATAGAGCTGCTTTGTCTCTGTGACTTGGTAGCATGGCCTAATGTAGTAGGTGTCCTATAGGGTCCAGTGGCACAGCCTATCCTATCTCCCAAGCTGGGTATTCGAGGCGCACCCTTTATTTGGGCTGAGTACTCCCTCCACTTACAGATGAGTTTTGATTGCTGTCAGAAGATCAATGGCAGCGGGGGGTGGGGGAAGGGGGGAGGCACGATTTACCCAGTTCAGACAACTGGTAGGACTGGCTGTGACCTCTGGCCAGCAACCACTTCCCTCCGTGGCTTGTGGAGGTGGTTGGGTGGTGTTCTGACTCTGACGTGGTCTGTAACTGTCTGCTGGGTGTGCAGACTCTGAGGTTTCCTGGGAAGTGCAGGCCAAGGTCAGCCTCTACCTGTGTTCTGTCTGGGGCCCCTTGGCATAAGCTATAAAGTGATCTGAGGATGGTTGCTGCTAGTGCCGGGTCTCGGGCCACTCAGCAAGAGGTATGGGTGGCTGGGCTCAGCTGTTGCTTGTTTGAGCAGATTTAGGAAGGTCTGAAGCCTCCAACTAGTCCAGCCCTTCATTTGGAAAAGCCACTGTTACCAGGGAGGGAGGGTTGCTTGGGTAGGCCTGTAAGTTGGATGGGGCAGACCCTTAGGTAATTGTCAGGGCGGGGCTTACCATGTGAGCCAGGTTGATGGAGCTTCAGACATGGTGCCACTGCACTGTGGCTCTGCGTGGGGGAGGGGTCAGAAAAAATACAATGGCTACTGTCTGCAGTTCTGTCTGGGAGGAAGCTATACCCCAGTTCTAGCCCTCATGCCAGATACTTCACTTTCTCCCCATGAGCCACTGGTGCCCTTCAAGCTGCTGCCCCCTTTCTGGAGCTCAGAGGGAGTGAATCTGAGGAAGTTCATGTGTGATGTGAAGCCCTTTAACAAGAGAGGCCTAAGAATCCCTCAGTTTCTTCCTCTGACCCAACCCCGACTGGTTTTTACAGCCAGAAGTTATGGGGACTTTTCTCCCTGGCAGTGGAACCCTGGGGCTGGGTGGTCTGGTGTGGGAGTGGGATCCTTCATTCCTGGGATATCTGTCCATTTTATATCCACCATACATGGGTCTGGGACCAGCCAGGTCCAAGTGTCCGTATCTCCACCCCTCCATCCCTTCTACCCGTCTGGATGAATGTGGTTTCTTTAATTCCTGAGTTGTTGGCCTTCCATACAGCTCAATTTTCTGGCAGTTCTGAGTGATGGTTGTTCTATACTTTAGGTGTAGTTTTGCTGTGGTTGTGCAAGGAGGTGAGCTGCATTTAACTATGCTTCCACCTTAACTGGAAGTTGATATTCCTGACAGAATTCTCTTTTCCATCTGCCCATATGTTTCCTATTCTAAATCATCTCTTTTTATGATTTTATTGTGAAATAATTTTAGAATCTCATAGAGGATGCAAAAGAAATAGAGATTCCTATGCAGTCTCCACCCTGCTTCCCCCTACATAACCGCAGTACAATGATCAAAACCAGGAAATTGACATCACATAATACCATTAAGTAAACTACAGACCTTATTCACATTTCACCATAAACACCACTTCTTAATTATTACGTTCTCTATTTGCCACATGGAATGCTTCCCCCTACACTGGCTACATAAAACCACAAGAATCTTCCAAATAATTACTGTGCAACACCATCCCATAGAAATTATAAGTTCATCCCCATTTTAAAATTATTCACTAGGTATTTGAGATTTTAAAAAAAGTAGATAACTTCCTCTGCTTTTATTTTTCCTGCCACCACTCTCGACTTGCTGCCTCTATCCTCACTCTAACCTCCGGCTCCCTACCTTTTCCCAACATAAACAAAGACTCATCATACTCTGGACCACAAAATAAAGAAAGCAAAAATAAATAGCCCCAAAATGTAAACTTACCCATTGAGGAAAGGATCTGAGCTATTATTAGTGATGGATCTCATGTCTGGGGTCATGGCAGGGGGGTTGACAGCAGCCTGAACCGTGGCCAGAGTCTCTGCTTCCATGGGGAGCTGTCTACAGAGGGCGGCTTCCTGGAAAGATATACCAGTCACAGAAAGAGACACGAGTTATTCCCTTGGTCACAAGGATCAGAACAAAGCATGTGTCATATGGAAAAGTTTCACTAAATACAAAGCATTTTACATTTACTCCTAATTTGCCTGGAAGGCAGTTAAGGTAGCAACTGTCCCACCCATCCGATTGTTTAAATATCCAAATCTTTTTGGATAAAACATTTTCAGCCTCTCAAAACATTTTCTCAGAGACAAGGCTATTTTTATCTCAGGTGCTCAGACCACGTCTAAATCAATCAAAGCAACTGGACTCCTCTAGAAGCAGGAACCCTCTGGTCTCTGCCATTTACGGGCCTTAAAACTCTGGGTTACAGAGTTCGGGCTCTACATTAAGTCGTATCTGGCTATTTTATATCAATAGCCAGGAGAGCAAAACAACCAGTTAAAAAGTTTGTCAACCAGTCTTTCTATTTGACTAATTATTTTCTTGACCTGACTAAAATGGCTGAAGGTTAGGGAAGCATGCAGACACAATCTAAATCCTACTGACAATTAACTGAGAGCATAGTAAAAATTAGGAGCTAGAATTTTTTTTTTTTTTTTAAAGCTAGCACTACTTTGTGAAGGAGAATCAATTCAAAGGTTATAGATTTGACTGTAATTATTTTCTCCAGGTATAACCCACAGGGAGTCTCTCCCATTTTTACAAACATGATCAGACATCAAATTTCTTCCAAAGTTGCTGCTGTTTCCAGAGAAGAATACTTTTGTCTGTTCACACTTCATCCAAAACCAAGACTCGGCCCTTCCCATAGGTACGTCTATCAGCTGCTCACTTTCCAGACTAATGACATTGGTCTCATTGTCCCTTAAATCCCCAAACCATGGCTACAATGGCAAAGAGGATATTTAAACCATCTAGGTTACAGTATGTTTGTTAGATCTGTTCCAGCCCTAACATGCTATGATTTTACAGAGTAACTGCTGTCTAGACAAGTCTAATGAAGTCATCGGCTACAAAAATTTTCGGTTACTAGAGTTCATTGCACTGTTACTAGGAGTTCTGGTAGCATGACTCTTACAAGCTGAGAGAGACCTGATTGATAAGACACTACATTGTGAACGTATACTGAACTTATTAACCTGGCTAGGAAGGGCTTCTGGTTCACTTCTGCTCTTTCATGTTGCAAATAATCAGAATGTTTAACGAACAAATTTTATTCAGTTAATCCATGAAAGGCAAACCAAAAAAAGGAGTTTTTTTTTAAAGGTAATCTTAACCCATAATCCAAATCTTGGAAGTCTCTTTTTGATAAATCTAGAAAAATGGGATATTTTCTAATAGCTCTCTTTCCATGGCAGGCAGAGTGCACAGGAAACCCTACTGTCCAACCAAAGCTCACCTGAAGGTCTCATGTGGATGAACAGCAGGCACTAAACCTGTTGTGAGGAAACTGGAACCCACCAACCTTTAAGCACATTCATACACTAATAAATGTGGGGTTTACCCCCCAAATTGATGCCCTTTGAAACAAGGTGAAGAGATGATTGCATTTCATTGTATTTGACATAATTGGATCACCATATGTTTTAAGAATACTGAATAAATTTGAAATTTTTAGGTGGTCTGAATATACATATAAGAATCATTTCTGGAATTTCATAGGATAAAAAATACATATTACACACAAAAAGTATATGAATTGTTATTAATCTGTTATGATATGATATGAAAATGTTTAAATTATAAGAAAAATATCAGAAACTAGGGACACTATATATAGCTCTAAACTTTTCCTCTTCATTTTTTAAAAAAGATTTTATTTATTTATTTTTAGAGAGGTGAGAAGAGAGAGAGAGAAACATCAATGTGCGAGAGAAGTATCGATTGGTTGCCTCTCATGTGCTCCCAACCAAAGACCTGGGCCACAACTCAGGCATGTACCTTGAACAGGAATTGAACCAGCGACCTTTCAGTCTGCAGTACGACGCCTGAACCACTGAGCCACACCAGTCAGGGCTCCTCATTTAAATTACTCCTAGCATATTTCAAATAAATACAATATAGATCTTTTATGCTTTTATGTGGCTAAATATATAAATAAAATTCAAAAGAACTATATAATAATCAAAGCTGAAAGAACCTATACTGTATTTGGGAAAACATTTGCGCCATTTCACATCTGTTTCCTCTATTTTAAATTAAAGACAACCAAAGTTCCATTCTTCGGCATCGGTATCTCCCACTTTGAAGACTTGATTCCCATGTCATCCTAAGTGCAATACCATGTTCCATCTGCAGGGGACTCACAGAATCATATCCCACCTTCAAATGACTAACAAATGAGAGAATTCAAAGAGGGTGTTTGTTGATGGCACCTGAACAATCACTCTGAAATTTAAATTAGGCTAGTATGAGTTAGAAGTTTATTATAGGGGCAACACTCTCCAAGATTATTCCAACATTATTCTTGGGTCAGAAGTCAGTGCCACAGAGCAGCCAATCTGAAGATTGTGTTGGCCCCCGGCTGGAAACCCACCTACGTACGAATGGCCCACAAAGCCCTGCAGGACAGCCCTGTCCATGTCTCATTCTTCACCTCTGACATGTCCCCTCCCTCACTCCCTACCCGCTGCCTCTCCCACTTCCAGCATCTGCACCAGCCGTTCCTCTGCTTGAAACATGCTCCTCAGCTCTTCCCACAGTCCACTCCCTCACTTAATGTTTGTGCCCAACAAAAATGCCATCTCTTCAAAGACTGCATTAAATTTTCTTCAGAGCAACTTATGTATTTGTTGTCTGTCTTTTCTGTCAGAATGTGCGCACCGTGAGAGAAGGGATGTGATTGGTCACATTCACCCCCTGTCCCCACTGCCTAGTAACAGCTAGGCATATACTGAATCCTTGATACATATTTGTTCAATGAATAAATAAATTACTGGAATTCAAACAGAAATATTTTACGTTGTATTTAGTAATAAAAGAAAAAAAAATAAACAGAACATTCAATTCTCATCATCAACCACAAGTATGAGTGAAATAACGGCCTACAGTGTACACCCCAACCCGCGCGGCGCAAACTCCGCCCTCACAATCACACCGCACTCCTCCCTGCTCCTAACACAGAGGATGAGCAGAAAGGCAGGGTGTTCAGGAGCAGGGATTCTGGGGCCAGAGGCTTGGGTGTGAACCCTGGCCCTGTCATCTCCCCACCAGTTATGTAACCCCTGTGTTCCTCATTTGCAAAGTGGGGATAATAACAGCATCTACTCAACAGGGCCACTGTGGCGGGAAAGTGAGGTAATACACAAGGTACTTAGAACAGTGCCTCGCACTGATCACTTAAGAAATATTAACGTAGTAGTAGTAATAGTAGTAGTAGTAGTAGTAGTAGTAGTAGTAGTAGTAGTAGTAGTAGTATCTCATGTTCTATATTCCAATGCCAGAAAACAAAATTAAAAAAATTTTAAAAATCACATTATTGCCTGAAATTGATCTGCTCTGAGTGGTTTGACACTTCTTCCTGGTCAACTCTCACATTGCAAGGATTAAACCAAAGCGTGAAGTTCATCATGATGAGTCAGCAAAACTAAGAAAACAGTATCTTCTTTATAATAAGGGGAGGTTTGCAAACCTTTCTGCATAACATAAAATTAGTTTTTATGGAAATTGAAGAATGGTCAAAGTTTCATTTCACTTAATTATATTTTATAATATAATTCTATATTTAGAATTTCAAAAAGTCTAGTCTTTTTTTGAATGACAGTATTTTCCTATTTCTGCTCATGAATGAAAGGAAAAAAAAAGTGGCACAGAATCCTAGTTTTAAAAATAAAAGGACTAACCTCACTAACATATCCCCACCTCCAAATAAGGGAGGATTTTAAAATAACAACAACTAAATTTAGGTATAAAATTAAACTCCAGACCCAGCAGGATTTTGGCTGCCATATGTCACCCACTATCCTTGCATGGGCAGAAATGAAAAGGCAAACACCTGACTTTCGTTTGACCAAGAAGAAGCCATCAAGGCTGTTGAAACTAGACCAGCTGACACAAAGATAGAAGATGGGAGCACTGGACTAAGTAAACTGACATCAAAACAGGGGGACAGCTGGCCAAAGCTGGTCTAGGACATGACTCAAGCCTCCAACTCAGAGGACTGACAGTGCAGCTGCCCTAACTAACCCCACGCTCCCTCCCCAGCTCCCTCTAGTCAAGACAGAAGAAATGCTAAGCTGGAGGCACCTCCTAGCCCCCTGGTCTGTCTCTCACCTCCCACTTCACTCTAGTTCAACAGGTCTATTCACAGACCCCTTCCCAGTGTCCCCACCCACCCCTACTCATCCTGTTCTCCCACACAAGCCTCCAGTGTCCTAGACTCCTCAGTACTTTGGGTCTCCCTTCATCTCGCCAGATCTCACTCACCCTTAGAGCGTCCGGCACACCACCTTTTCCAGGACGCCTTCTCTGGCCACCCTAACCAGGCAGGCTGCTACCTTCCCTTTGTCCCAGCCCTGAACTCTTAAACAAACACCCAGCTGGGGTCTGAAATCACAGGTCTCCCACAGCACTTCTTATCTGGCCCCAAAGCAGCTCTTCCTACTCATTTCAAGCCTTCTCTGAATGCCATCACCACTCACCCCAGCTCTAAATCCCAGTCAACCGACACCTCAGTCCCCACAACAATCCCTCCATTCATTTATTCCTTTATTTTTTAAAAAATATGATGGAGACTCCCAGGTGCCAGACACTATTCCCAGTAGCAGAGATACAGCAATGAACAACACAGATCACGCCCTACCTCATGGAATATTCTAGAAGGTGAGGCAGACTGAAGCAAAGAATGATGGACGAAGCCTAGCCTGGTGGGTTCCATCGCCCTGATATCACCATGGTCCAAACCTTCCTTCCACCTCAAGCAGCAGGTCAGCACTTCTTCTCTAGATATTTTAACTGCCCTGCCCTCTTCCAGTCAGGGCTGCATCCAGGTCTCTGTTCTACACTTTGCTTTAGG